CCGGTAGCAACAAAAACTGCGGAGAACCATGCAAAAAACGCATCTTCGCACGGGCAGCCCGTGCGTCGGCCAATTTTTTCTCTTAGCAACGGATTCCAGTACGCATTCGGCAAACATTCATTAAGCACCAGGAAAAGCAAATGAGGATCACCTGTAATTTGACGTGGGCTTCGTCCAGCTGCTGCGTACGTTCATTCAAATCGTGATACAGCTGCTTGATTTCCTTCTGCAAATCGCGCAATAGCCGTTGCCGCTCAGATTCCGCTTTAGCTGAAAAATACCACTTCAGAAATGAGACTGCAAGCATTCCCCAACAAAGATAATCAATTTGCTTTCATAATTCACTTCCTATGAGAGCTGAATGCATTTGGAAATAGCCTAAGTGTTAATAAGCAGCCAACGATAATACCCGCTGGAAGAATGCCAAAAAGGTTCTCCTTTATTTCACGCGGTTTCTCAGAAGCAAACAATGGTGCTTTGAAATTTCTGGTAAGTACTGGAACTAATTTGCCATCAAATCTGTATGAATGGACCGTGGTGAAAGGACTAATCAATCCCCTGGTGGAGCCGAACTCTTGACCTCCAGCAATCGCTATTTGCATTGCCACTGTGCCAATCAGCGTAAATAATGCCAATAATAGGTGATTTTTAACATGTTTGCATTATAATGATATGAAGTTTTATAGGGTATTATTTTGATAAATACTAATTTCTGTGGCACTTTTATTAAAATTTACGATAAAAGCAAACAACTGAAAGCACAGACTAACTACTTCAACGTTTCTTCCATAACACAAGCAAAGCACCGTCCACGAATAAAGTCAAAAAAAATAGCATCCAAAATTCTGCTTAAACTTACTAAATATTTAAATATCAGCTAGTATCAAATAAAAATTTAAAAAAAACAAAAAATATGACCGGAAAGGCCTGTAGGAAAAAAAACAGGACAAAAAGTATTTTGCCATCCACTTATCGCATCCTCCCCTCTCTCCTCTTACTCTGTTTTTATCAAAAAGATAAAGTTCGGCTTACCCAATGCTTTTGCTTTTTCCTCATTTGCAGTTTTTTGCAGCTCATTCATTTCTGATCGTAGCTTATCAAGATCTTTTTTCAAATTCTCATTTTCATCAAACAGCACCTCCTGCTTCTGTTGTTTCTGCTCAGCATTTTGGGCATTCTCTGAAAAAATACCGAGCCAAATTACGTTAGTTTTTCTAAAATCATATTTTGCAATTTTCCTTGTTTGGATGTATCACTCGCTGATATATTACGTGAGATCCGTAACAGATCCAGTAAAAAAGCTCTGTAAAACAAACCAAACTATAATCATAACCATGTGTACATAGGCGCAATCAACTTGCTGGATAAATATGAATTAGGTTCGTTGTACCAGGGGAAGGATACATATATTCATTTTTCCAAAATCACATATTTTATTGTTTTAAAAAAAAATAATATCTTCAAAATAGCATCAACTCCATGCAACCGTAGATCAAAGACTTTCAGGAATGTAGAATTTTGTACGTATACCTGCATTTGTCAAGCCAGGAAAAAAAAA